GCAAATGTAACAATTATTTGTTTTATTCTTCACTTTTGGTGTTGAGGGAGATATAATGTTCTGCTTCTTGCTCTTCTGGTCACCTCAATCATAGACACATTGTGCGGTTGCAGAGTTTCTATGATTTTATCATTCTATCTTGTTCTTATGTATCGAGTTCATTTTGTAATTGTGTTTTATTCCATCTTGTTCTTATGTACCGAGTTCATTTTGTAATTGAGTTTTATTCTATAATTTTATCATAGAATCATTATAGCAAAAGGCATGGTACCAGGAAGAAGGGGCAGAGGCTGACCGACACAAAGATGGGCACAGGATGTAAGCGACTCCTTGAGTATGAAAATACATGAGGGGGTAGAGCTGGCGAGAGACCGAGTTTCCTTTAGGCAGACCGTGATGAGAGCGACGTTCTTCAAAGGACCTGCTACATGATGATGATGATGTTTTTATGTACCCAGTTCCTTTTGTAATTGTGTTTTATTCCATCTTGTTCTTGTGTACCCAGTTCATTTTGTAATTGTTTTATCTAATTTACTGTATTTATAAATAACATGTTTACAGGACAGTCAGATAGAGGAAAAGGTAGTTCCCATTTGAGATACTACAATTTACGTTGGGAAACATTAGGTTTATATATATTCTGCTTCTTTTTTTTAAAGTCCATGCCATGTGACAATGGTAGTCATGTCTATCTACAACCTTCTGTCTCATGTACTTTCAATCAACTCTGTCACAGATGATCCTCCATGCCATGACATCAAACTGTCCAGCATCTTTTCTCTTGGTCTCCCCCTGCCTCTCCTTCCCTCCAACTTCCATACTGTCACCATGTACACGATATATAATCTAAGCCATGATATAAGAGGTGGAAGGATTTCCATCCTCATCATTGTCCTCACCCACACAGGACTGAAGATATGTGTGGTTGGTCCCATCCTCATCATTGTCCTCACCCACACAAGACTGAAGATATGTGTGGTTGGTCCCATCCTCATCATTGTCCTCACCCACACAGGACTGAAGATATGTGTGGTTGGTCCCATCCTCATCATTGTCCTCACCCACACAGGACTGAAGATATGTGTGGTTGGTCAGTCATCCAGACTGGTTTTTAAAAAAATCACATTATGGTTTGGTAAACCTATAGGCAGCAGCCTGAAGGGGACAAATGACTGATCAATCAATCATCCTCATCAACTTGTCCATCACACAGTATTCACAAAACTGTCTAGAACTAACTGTAATGAGGCTGGGTTGGTCACAGGGGTGTGCTGGTTGAAGAAGAACATCCTGCGTCTGCTGACGATTGAACATTGACTGTCATTTTTGCAGGAAAGCAATGTATAAGAGTGTACATATGGGTTTTAATGAGTGTGGGTAAGTATGCATTTATGAGTGTATGTATGCACATATGAGTGTAAGTACGCATGTATAAGTGCAAGTATACATGCGTGAGTGTAAGTATACATGCATGACTGTAAGTATACATGTGTGAGTGTAAGTATGCATGTGTGAGTGTAAGTATGCATGTGTGAATTAAGTATGCATATGTGAGTGTTAGTTTGCATGTGTGAGTTTATGTTTGTATGTTTAAGTGTATGTATGTGTGCATACATTCATGCATGTGTGCACACATGAATTTGCATACATGCACATGTATGTTTGTGCATGTGTGTATGTGCACATGAGCAAGAGTGCATTATGCACATATATGTGTGTCCATGTGTGTGCGCATGTGTGTGTGCATATGTACATGCTTGTGTGTATGCATGTGTGTGTGTTTGCATGTGTGTGTGTTTGCGTGAGCACGTTCACGTGTGTGCGACATAAAGTTTCAAGTGTCTGAGGAGACAAAAATGTGCTCTTACAAAATAATTGAGAAAATTGGATCCTATGGTCACCATTGCTGCCTCCCAGTCACTGCCATGATCCCCTGACAGAGACCAAACAAGAGTTGAGTTGCCAGAATCCAGCAGCACAATGTAGACATTGAGTGTGCCAACACTGATGCCTCGCATGTTATAGTGGAAATGAAGACACTGTATTCCATTTGAGAAAGTTTCTGATTCTAGCCAAGCCTTCTGCGCATGATAGTAGGGACCACTTGAGTCGATATACATGAAGTACCCTGGGTGTGGAGCCAAACATAGTCAGAATGGTTTATTTCAAGCACAACAAAACATAGTATTGCTTCTTCTTTTTCAACGCATGTGGCGTTGGTAGTCATGTTTATTATCCACAACCTTCTGTCTCATGTACTTTCAACCAACTCTGACACAAATTATCCTCCATCCCAGATGTCAAACTGGCCAGCATCTTTTCTCTTGGTCTCCCTCTGACTCTCTTCTCCTCCAACTTTCCAACTGTCCCTATGTACTCCACTTTTCTCCTTCTCATGACAAAACCAAAGAATATAAACTGGCTCTTTCTGATATTGGCAAACAGTTATAAATCAGTATTGCTAATGGTAAATGATAACTTTCATGGTTACATTTCCTGACAACACCATAAGGGCAATTTCTTTAAAGATCCCAAAGACTTACTGCAGATCCCCAGAGTCCCTGCACTGCGCAATCTTCTCATGAGCTGGTCAGATAAAATGGCTCTGCTAAGCTGATATTTTAACAAGTGGATATTTGAAAAACAAAATAAACAAATGACTTGGACTCTCAGCTCAATCAAGTCTAAAATGAGTATGAGGTAATTTCCTGAGAAGTAAAAGTACATCTCTCATTAAGTACCAAATGGCCTATACAAATATGAGACTAACAACCTCTGCCCAGTCTTTTGGACTTGACAAAGATTCTCTTTCACACACACACTCCCACAAACTCTCTCACACAAAAACACTTTTTCTTTTTCTTTCTCATTCAATCACCCTGTCTCTTCCTCTGACAAAATCGTGCACACGCACGCACGCACGCAGGCACACACACACACACACACACACACAGAGTGTAGGGAAAAAAGAGTATGTAGATATCCCTTAACTCTTTCTGTCCCAAGGAACGCATCATATTTTCATATGTTCCTACCTAGAACCCAATAAACACAAGATGTGCCAATTTTACGTCTCTCTTGACTATCCCTTGGGCCTCTGGTGCTAAACTCCTTGGGACTCAAAGAGTTAAAATCAATATTGATCATGTTATTTGTATAAGTAAGCATCCAATCATGCACAGTCCTAGTTTACCATCTGAAGTTCCTAAAGTACTATCCACAGCTGGACCTGGTGGACCCACGGTGCTTCCTGTTCCCCGGATCCAGTCAAAGTCATCCCCATTCCTGATGTGATTTTCCCAGGTGCACAGGTCCCTTTCAAATGAGCAAGCACCTACAAAATCAATTATAGCAATCTGAGTAAGTAAAATTAAAGGACCCTTTAATTCAGGTGTATTAGGAATATGGGGCTAGACCTATATTTGAGAGACCCATTGGCACTCGGTCAGTGATGTGGTCAGCATCATGCCAGCCACCTTCACTTCCCTGGACCTTTTTATCCACTCAAGGTTGGGTCAAACTGGGAGCCAGTTTTGTTAAAAGCTAAACTGAAGTAAAATTTTCCTATAAGCCCCAGTGACAGAGGTCACGGGGTCATGACAAGGTTCATGACATGGTCAAACTCACAAAGGTTGACCCACCTAATATGTGTACTAAGAAAAATGTGGGGAAGTACTGATGGGCTGCAAGATATTGATCTTATCTGAGTGTCTGTGTGTCAATAAAATATGAAGCTGGATATGACTTCTTTGTTTTCATTATCCTCATCCTTTCATGTCACTTAGAGCTCACAATGTGGTCCTCCATTATGTTGTTTACTTTTATTGGAACAAACAACAAAAGCAAAAATTAACAGGTTTTACTTTTAAAGAAACAAACAAAAGCAAAAAAAAACATTCTTTACTTTTATCGGAACAAACAACAGCAGCAAAAATAAACCCAGCTACAGCTAGAAAGATAGAGGCTGAATAATACTCATCAAAGTAACATATAACTTCTTAGACAAGCATATCATCAACAACTGTCTCATGACATATTTTAATGGATCATCATCATCAACACTGATTTCCATCTTTGTCGTTGAGCAGTTTGGAGTGGAACAGTTTGCAATCCATTGCTTGGTTGGTGGCAATGGATATTGTCATTCCATGTTGATGTAGAAGAAATTTAATGTCTTCATATTCTTTTAGGGTGACCTCTTACCTTCACATCAGATTTGTTCATGTGTAGCACCTGTGTGGGTAGTTGTTGTGACTATGTTTTAATGAGATGACCAAACCATCTGATCATCTGTTTCTGAATTAATTTGGTGCATGGTGTTGTTCTCACAGTCTGTCTGATAGTAACATTTCTCACAATATTTAGGCTTTCCTTAGGAATCTTATTTTAATGGGTAAATGACACAAAATTATCTTCAATTACATATAGGTAAATTTATGTAATGGAGATGAAAGAGTTCAGAGTTTGAAAAGAAATGTGTACAAATCCTTTCTAAATTTATTTTACAAACTAGTAGATATTTACAACATATATAAACCAGTGATGCAACATCTTTATGGTATATCTGGTTTTTTTTTTCAAAGTATCCAGAAACCATGAGTTGTTAACCCTTTGGTTCAGTTCTATGGATATCACAACCCTTCGACCTTGATTCCATGATAGATACCGTAAATGTGGAAGAAACGTGGTTTTTCTGCGTGAACTCAGACCACAAGAAGTTTGTCACCCGGTCGCTGCGCAGAGGCTTTAAACCAGCTGAGCTAATGAGCAGGGTATCTGGTTAGAAACCTAATCTAGATGAACAAATAAAAAGCTCTGTGTGTGCATATCAAAACACCTTGCCAAACAGAATCAATAAAAAAAAAATGGGTCCTATAAAATTAAATGTTGTGGAATACTTGACATTTTCACCGAGTGCTGATGGTCTGTAAAAATATGGGCGTTCTTCCCATATGCCTGATAGGCCGAAAGGGGTGGAAAGGGATCTTTACTTTTTTTACTTGTTACTTGACATTTTCTCACATGACAACAATTACCATGTGTGCTACATGCTCCATTTGACAATGAGAAGTCATCAACTGATAAGGATGAACTGTTGACACTAAGTTCCTCTGCTTCAAAAATGATTGTAAATGGTACGTTTGATGTGACTGGGGCTTCACTCCGTATCCAATCCATACCCTGTGCATCTCGTTTTTGTAAAAGCAGTTCCTATTTTCAAAACAAATTTCAAAAAGAGGCAATTTTTTTTATTATTGTCGATGAAAAAACACCAGAGAAATAAGTGTGAAACAATTTAATTAATTGTCCCTGTAGCAATATACAGATGTGAGCGGTGGACTTTCTTGCAGTCTTTAAAGAAGAAATAGGAGTTTTTAAGCTTAAATACTATAGAAATATTTTCAGAAAGTCATAGACAAAGAAAGAAAGAAATATTGCCACCACAAAAGATCTGAACATCAAAGAAAACTGGTTGATAAACAGCAGCTTGTCTCAGAAACTGAAAAATGTTGGCCATATCAAGCGCCACGGTGGACTGGACACAAAATAAAAATATCATACCAGGAAATAAGCCTTGAGTGAGTCCTGGGAAGTAAAAGCAGCCAGTATGATGCTGATCATATTTTCCATGAAGTGCCGATTGGTTCATAAAATATAGGTCTAGCCCTATATGCCCAATAGGCCTAAAGGTGCGGACAAAGGACCTTTTTACTTTACGAGGAAGGAGGTGCAGGGACCAGTCAGCATGAAGATGGGCACAGGATGTGATACCTTGGGTAGATATGGTAGTCTGGTAGTCTTAGTTTCAGCTTCATAGCAAACGGGTCACCCCATCTTTGCTGCGCTCCTGTGCCAACGAAAAGCACACAGAATTTTTTTTTTTTTTTTTTTAATCGATCACCGGCTGTGAATTCCAGTGGAAGGTCCCGGTTAATCGTCCGCTTGGACTTTTGGCATTCACCTGGACCTGATTTTTGCGTGTACAACCGTTTTTCATTTCCCTGCCTCGTGGGCAGCTGTACTCCGACTTCGAAGGAAGACGTCAGGCCTATTTCTAGGGTGACTGTGGCCATTGTTTTGTGTGGGTCGAGACGTTGCCTGATTTGTGTGGTGTCCACTTTGTCTCTTTCTCCGCAGGTATTGCCCCCGGAGTATCCCTTTGGGGCAGCCCTCTGTGGAACAGTTAGCCCTCAAGGGAAGGCAGGGGCAGATCATGGGCATTCCCCGCCATCCAAGGAGGCTTCCATGCATGCAGAGCCGGCACATGGCGCTCTGGTTCTGGGCTCACCCAAGGAATCGTCACGTCCTGCACATGCCTGCTTAACCTCACAACCGTATCAGGCCTCCTGCTCGACAGGGGCTGCGCCCTCTGGAAGTCAGCGGGGAGCAGCCCGTGGGTTTTGGACTTTTGTGACCACACAGATAGGTACATTCTTTTTTTTTCTTCGCACGTTAGATTTCTTTGACGAGCCGTTAGCCCGACAGAATTTTACATCCTGCATCAGGCATATCGTTATCAGTTTTGTCCCAACACTCGGGCGAGTGGGGTCTTTGAGTGTGGGCATTCGGTCTTTTCCCGTTCAATACAAATTTTGATGGTCAGATTTTGATCCGTATGATCTAGTTTTGTCAGACATTTAGGCTTAGCCATCCAATGGATGGTTGCTGTTGGGGTGTACCTCAGCACGGTGACGACGACACTGAGGGTTAACCGAGGATGTGCAAGGATGGCCAGCCTATGGATGGTTGCTGTTGTGGTGTACCTCAGCGCGGTGACGACGACACTGAGGGTTAACCGAGGATGTGCAAGGATGGCCAGCCTATGGATGGTTGCTGTTGTGGTGTACCTCAGCGCGGTGACGACGACACTGAAGGTTAACAGAGGATGTGCAGTGAACAATGTTCTCTTTACTCCGCAGTCTTTTAACCAAGGGTTGTAATTTTGGCTGTACGTTTGGCAAACCTGCTCATGTTCCTAATGAGTTTTGATAACTTTTTTCACCCAAGCGTTTGGGGGCGGGCTGATGAGAGCCACAAGGACACATCACCTCTGGGGGCCGCCGAACTCCGAGATCCCCTGACAGCTCTGTTAATGCTCATTTGAGACATTATCCGTGGCGCACGACGAGGACGTGCTGCAGGGGTCTTGCGTGAGGTTCCGTACAACCAGGATAGTGAAGGACTGGCGCCCGAGTGACGTACGGAGTATCTCCTTATACACATCATGTCGGACTTAACTTCCCCTCACGCCTGTGACATAAATCACCGCGCCACACACACAGAATGTTTATCACAGTCCCTTGTGGAAAGATTGACAGACTGCTGTCTCAGCATTTCTAGCGTACACTCGCATTAAAGCATAGGGTAGCCATCCAAAGTGCTAACACAACCAGTCCGACATTAGAAATGCAACTCATCATTGATGGTAGCAGAAGTCACCAACAGATTTGCAGTTGCCCAGGTGATCAATTATAATCACATAGGGGCACCACCAAAATTGCGACAACAGGCATCGCGCCATTTTTTAAATCTACAATTCATAACACCATGTTGGTCACAGTTGAAAAAACATTCCAAATGAAATCCGCAGCTCACAGTGTCACGCCATGCATTCAACTCAGAAGCTGGGCAACAAAACTATATCCAGTCTACAAATGGAGCAAAAATGCACCAGCCACCGTCTGGTAGAAGAAAAAAAAAATGGCCTCGGCTCAAAACAGTGGCCGGCCTAGCGTCCATTTTGACCAAAAGCCACTAAATAAAAAGATGTAAGTACACAAGATGGAAGAGCTGGAGATAGAGTTTCTTTCAGGCTGACTGTGCTGCCAGCAATGTTTCACAAAAGACCTGCTACATGATGATGATGATGATTCAATTAATTCTTCATTGTTTGTTGGATGTTAGAGGTCAAATGGTTCTTCTTATTATAGTCCATATCATGTGGCATAGGCAATCATGTCTATCTACAGCCTGTTATTATAGTCCATATCATGTGGCATAGGCAATCATGCCTGTCTACAGCCTGTTATTATAGTCCATATCATGTGGCATAGGCAATCATGTCTGTCTACAGCCTGTGATGTAAACAGTCAAATCATTTCTGACACAGATGTTTTTCATGATGGTTTTTATTATTCTTTGTCTTTACTACCTGTTTTACTGTTTTGGTGTCAAGGGAGATATAAGGTTCTGCTTCTTACTCTTCTGGCCGCCTCAACTATAGACACATCATGCTATTATAGTGTTTATCTTTCCATCTTGTTCTTGGTCTACCTTGCGCTCTACATCCTTTTGTGTGTGTGTATGTGTGTTTGTGTGTGTTCTTGTTGTGTCGGCTCTGTGGCTAAGTCGATGCGAACGCTTTGTAATGTCGTGGTACCGGGTTCAATCCCAGCTGCGGGCCATGCGCCTTGCATTGGCTTCGACAGTGGTATCAGGGGGCCAACCGTCCAAAAAGCAATGGCAAACTACTGGATGTAAATTTGCCTGGAGAAACCACACAACAGCCATGGGCTGTTAGGGTTGGTTCTGCAATCCTGTAAAGGATACGCAACTAACCTGGAGTGTTCTTGTTGTATGCTATGTATAGTACAATGTCGCACGGCATTCTCTCTTAGTGGGCAAACCACTTGATCAGCTGTCTTCATACAAAATTTAGAATTAGTTCTGTGCTGACTTTTTTAAAATGACCTCATTTCTGATTTTACCTCTTCTGATCACTCCTGCAGCCCTTCTCAGACATCTCATTTCTGTGGTTACTAATTTTCTTTTATGTTTTGTTGTAAGTGACCATATCTGGCACTTGAAGCATAGAATTGGAGTAAATATGTGTTTATATAAGTTGTTTCTTTGAGCTGACTGGAATTGTCTTATGCTGTAAGATAGGAGCTAGCTGTCCAAATTCTTGGTTTCCTTTATGATGGTTAAGGTTAGTTGTGCATCCTTTACAGGACGTTGCAGAACCAACCCCAACAGCCCCTGGCTGTTGTTTGGTTTTTCTAGGCAAATTTATGTCCAGTAGTTTGCCATTGCTTTCTGGACGGTCGGCTTTCCTGATACCACTGTCGAAACCAATGCAAGGCGCATGGCTCACAGCTGGGATTGAACCTGGCATTCCGGTATTACAAAGCGTTCGCATCGACTTTGCCACAGAGCCGACTTATGATGGTTCCACTGGTTAAAAATAATAAATGAGAGAAGTGACATCAGAAACTGAACCTATTTTGTTAACATAAATTCAGCATCTAAATCTCATCATCATATAGTAAGTTCTTCTATTGTAAGAATGTAGCTCTCATCATGACATAACAACCCACATGAGAGATTCAGTTAGTGTACATTCAAAGATAGTTGTGTATCCTTTACAGAAAATTACAGTTCCAACCCCAGCATTTATTGGGCTGGTTGTAGCTTCAACAGGCAATTACATGTTCAGTCATTTGCCACTACTTCTGATTGGTCAGCTCTCAGTACCACTGTTGAAACCAACGCAAGGCAATCTCCTACCAAATCACCCACAGCTGCAATCAAACCTGGCACCTCATAATTAGGAAGTGCATTTGCAATGCCTAAGCCACAAACAAATGTGAAAATTTTTAATATTTTATTTCACCACATGAGATACAGTGGGTTTACAGTACTATCATGAAAAGATAACACACGAGACAAAAAAGTAGTACCAGGCAGTTCCACAATATCACAAACATAAACAACAAGTAAATGCTGTGGCTAGATGGTCTTCTTCAGCACAATACATGAATATTATAATGCCACAAGTGCGAACAAGAATACACAAAATCTTTTAACTGATGTATCACTGACAGAAATCCAAATGGTAATATGAAAAAACACAGTACTGACCAGTTAGACGGGTGGAAATTAAATATAAAATTTTAGAACAATTAACGCTTGCTGTGATTAATAACACACCAGCCACGTTTACTTCCCATATCATATCCTCTTACCTATTTTAGTCTAGACTGACACAGCTGGCAAGTTATGTTAGACATCATGGTCCTCTTGCATGAATTTTGTAAACATTAACAAATTTTTCATTTAAGTAAGTGAGCAAAGATAAAGAATATTTCCTTAATCAAGAAAGAGAAATTTAAGGCCCAAAACCGCAATAAATACAATACAGAAGATGAGGTGTAATAAATCAAATAAGCGCAGCAGAGAATTAACAAGC